TGCAAGAATCTTAACATACACTACACTTATCCAAAAATCAGAATTTCATRAAGTGATTTAGCTGTGATGTACTTTTACCAGCACATGCCAAATAATTTTGATTTATGATTTCTCACTCATAATTGTGTGTATGCATTGATTATCAAGTTGGTGTTCAGAGTTTCATTCCTGCTGTTTGTCCATTCCTTGAGCAGATGTGATACTGGAGTGAGTATGTGTTTGTTTACAAAAAGGTGGATAAATCGTTCTGGATTTCTCCTCATAGAYCATATGTTTCCTGAATGATTCCTTTCCTTCACCGAGTACTATTATAGGTACTATTGGTTAGCAATGCAGAGTGTGTCRAAACATCCATCAAAATAAAGATGGCTTTGCACAACTCACCTTTGTAAATAAACAACAGTTATTAAAGAAGACGGTGAAGGTACCAGGATTTCTCAGGATAATCAGAGTGTAAACCTCACTACTTTGTGTCAAAGATGTGACTTTTCATCCTGCTTTTCTGAACTCTATTTGTGTCTGAGTCACAAACGCTATCCTGTGATGCAGAAGATCTTCAGTTGCTGCTGGAAATGTAACCTCAGACTTTCTGTTTTGTATTTCAGAGGCTGGAAATAGTGGGTTTAAAGGATGTGTTATGGATTTAAGCGATTTTTCAAAAAGCAATGATGGAGAAAACACTAAAGACACTCTGGAAGTCAACATTTATGTCCTTGCTTTCAAGGTGAGAGAATAAAACTWCACAAATGCATCTTCTAAATGTGATTGTAATGTGAAAGTTCCTGTTCAGAAGACATGTACTGCATTTGTCCTTAACAGTTAGATGTGGGGGCAATGGGAAGAGGTGGGAAGGGGCAAGAAGGTTGGAGTGGGAAAAAAGTCAGAATTCTTCCAGTGTCTTCTTCTGAGGTCCATTTTGGAAGCTATCAGAAAGATACTGAGAGCTATAGCAGAGGGCAAAGAAGGAGATGAAAAGGCAAATAGCAAAATATTGCCAACATGGGAATTCTCTGTTGCTTTTGTAGACCACAGGATTTCGCTTCTTTTGAGGTCAGACTTATCATTTAGTTGGAACAGTGCCACTTTGTGTTTATGAACTGCTGACTTAGTCACTGTGTTTTCAGAGGTACTAGATAAAGAAAAGTGGGAAAAATCGCATAAAATTGACCCATTTCCATATTCATATGTGACAGAAACAAAGGTGACATCTCCTGGAACCCTTGATCTCTCTCTATCTTCCCAGAGAATCTCTATTCAGAAACTCTATTTTCCTCATGGGCAGTGATCAAGGTGTCCATGAGGCTGTGGTTGAATCACCTCTCCATTGAACTCCCATTTAGGTTGCATTGGACCAAGTGTTTTCACCTTATCAGTGTTTTCATGCTTAGTGAGAATAAAATCTAAGGATTACAGGTTCTGGATAACTGTCTTAAAGATGGGCCTAGCCTGGCATCAAGAGACTCAATAGGTAGAACACAGCTGTCTGCCATTTTCCAGGTACATCATCCTGTCAGGCTGACTGAGATTCCCTTGATTTGTTGTTATATTTTCTAATTTTCCTACGCCCTAAAGGAAGAGAAAGATTCTGAGGGAGAAAGATAGAAAAGAAAGAATCCTAGGTCCCAAATCCTTGATCTTGAGAAAGGGGAACACAGAAAGGAATGACATGTCTTCCTCTTACTTCTTTCTCTAYCTAGTTGTCTTCCCTCTTCCATCTTTCTATGCACTTCAGCTCCTTTCTGACTTCTTCCTATRTTTTCACTTAAGACTGCATCTAATCCTCCTTCATGAAAGTCTCTTATGGGGATTTTTCTTTATAAGTCCCTATATTGCTTTCACTCTAGATGATTGGACCTCATTTTTTCTTTGTTGATGCCCATTGTGAGTCTTTACTTACAGGCTATATACTGATAGGTTTCTCAGAGATTACTTTCAAAATAGATTGTAGGTAAATTCTTCTGTCTTCACTCTCCTTGATAAGCTCTGCCAAACCATCAAGACCATCTTTTCTTGGCCTCTCTTGAATAGGATCTTTGCTTGAATAGGATCTTTGCTTGGCCTCTCTTGAATAGGATCACTGCTATTCCTCTTGCTCTCCCTTTTTCTCTTTCATTTGTAAATCTACTTTTCAGTTCATGCCTCATTTCTCTCCTCACTCAGCACTTCAAAGTCAGCCCTATCAAGTCAAGCTCTTTCCCAAACTGGCAAATCCTGTGTTCACTTACCTTATCCACAAAACGGTCTTATTTCAATGCCCAGAACAGCATAAAGTCTATCTTTCTCTCTTCTCCTTACCTTATTACTTGATTATTTTATTTTCATCACTTCAATTCACTTTCTTCAGATAGGAAATTGCAAAAATATTTGCCGAAAGCTAGAAACATTCTGCCCTTGTTCCAGTGGCATGTGTTTCTGTCACTGTACTCTATTTCTGTCACTTAATTCTCTTTTTCAAACCTGTGTTTTTTGTCACTTAATTCTCTTCTTCAAACCTATCCAAAAGTTAATTTAAAATCATCTTATTTTCCTGCTGCTTCATAAAAAGCATGTGAAAAGCCATGACTGTTCACACATCGGTCTTGAATTATTTAAAAACCTTGCACTGCTTGGAGGTTCATCATGTGACTTTGTCACATATTGCCTCCTACTTGACAGGAACAATCAGTGCAAAAAATGAAAAGGGAGTTATAACGCTCAATAGATTACATTTTCTCTACAGAATATCTTGACAGAGAACAAGAGACTAAAATACTAATTACAGGCCATTTGAAATATCAGGAAGCCACATGCTCTAGGTGTGCCTGCTYGAGYGGAAAGGCTGGACTAGATGATCTGTAGAGGTCCCTTCTTACCTTGAATATTCTGTGATTCTGTGATTCTGTAATATGTCCAACATAGAAATGGGTTTGCATATGGAAAAGTGAGATCCCACTGAACACAATGTTTAGTAAGAAAAGAATAATTGCTCAGTTTATTAGTATGAATACCTTTTGGAGCTAAGTGTTCCAGATGGGAAATACTGCTGTTGTCATGGCTAGAGAGGAGAGAGCTCTTGTTTCTTTCCTCCAAAAGATGTAGAAAGGAAAAAAATCTGTTTAGATGTCTGCCATATGTCTTTTGGCAGTGTAACTTCTAGTGACTGGAGATAGCACCTACCAGAATGTCACTGCGAAGATATATAACTTTTGATCATGTAAATCATAGCTTCATTTTATTCTCCAAAGCTGTAATGTATTCAGGGGAGGTTTTAGAACACGGAACTTTCTACATGGATGCTAGCATGGGTAATGTGCTAATATTAATAATGAACTGGTGCTTGAACTCAGGTCGCTTTAGGAGAGAACATGCAAAAGTTAAAATTTTCATTATTTAAAAAAAAAAAAAAAAAAACTAAATCCAAAACTCTGGGCTTGGTGCAATCAATTTGTGTTGTATAATATCTAGCATATCTCTCATTTATGTAAAGTGTTCTGCATAATGTTGATATATTTGCAGGTCTTCATTACACTTATTTAACAGACAATTTACATAGGACTTCTTAGTCTGGATTGTTAATGCCAGATCAAATGTCTTAATAGGTGAAAAGAAAATTAGTCTATTTGCTAAATACTTCTGTTGGGAAGGATCTTTCATAATTCGCTCTGGAAATAGTCAAAACATAGCAGAGAAATCGACGTTGGAAGACCTGGGTCTAGATGCACCTGTGTAATTCCTGTTCTTAATGCTCAGTGCCTCTGTTGGCCAACGCTGTGAGTTTACTGTTGCTACTGGGCTGGGAATTCACAAGCAGGGAAGGACCAATGAGAACCAGTCAGATGCTATATATTAGCTGAGAGCCCAGCTGAAGCAATCTGGTTGAACTGGAATACGCCCTAATTCAAAGGCTTTGCAAGCGAGGTGCTGAGAATAACCTTCTCGAGACACGTCTGCAAGAGCAAAATGCACAACTGGCAAGTGGAGCAGGTGGAATCTCGTCCAGGCTCTGCCCCCAGCCCTTTGATGCGGCTCTTCAATACTGGGGAATTTGTGAGGATTTCGACGAAGTTCTTGGTAGCTCGGGCAGAGTCGTTGGTTGGTAAGGTAAGGAGTTAACACCAGGAGAAACAAATATTCACATTTAACAGAGTGATGGGGATTCATTGGACCAGATGGACTGGTTGATGGGAGATGGGATGGCTGGGCGATGAGGGGAAGGAAAACAGTTTGTGTCTGGAGTTTCTCGATTTCTCAGGCTGCTGAAAGGGGAGCAGAAGGTCTTGTATACACAGTTTTTTTTTCTTATTACTTTTCTTTTTTTTTTTTCAGTAACACCGTGTTCTGAAACATGGAGACGTAACAGCAATTGAGAATGCACCAGAATATGTTGCTAGGGTTTATTTTATTTTATTTTATTTTATTTTATTTTATTTTATTTTATTTTATTTTATTTTATTTTATTTTATTTTATTTTATTTTATTTTAGGATCAATATGTACATCTCTGGATTTACAGGTTGACATTGATGTTTACATGGAATTACAAGGAGAAGGGGTCTTCAGCCATCAAAGAATTCTTTCTTAGGTTAAAAAAATCATAACTCAGTCAAAAAATGGAGGAAATATGAAATATTTCTATGTGCTGAAGGTGATAAATGAAATTTTCGCCAACATTAAAGCGGATTATATGTTATATTTAGTCTGTAGTTCCAGATTATGCCTGAAAAGAGTGTGCCTTGACCTGTCAGTATAACTATTACTTATTTTTCCTCTAGGACATGTCAATTTTATTGCAACCCAGTGAAAAAAAATCRGCATTAGCTATCCAAAGATGTGCAGGAAATGACCCCTTCATTTCACTTTAAAATGAGAAARAAATATGAGCATTCCAAAAAAATAGCAGCTTTTAACGTGTCAAGTTATTGTTATTTCTAAGAGCGCCCTTGTTAACATCCTTGCACCCTTCTACATTGCGTTGAGTGAAGGACAACATCCCTTCGCCTGCAATGAGGAGAGCGTGTTACCAGGCTACTCTAGACGTGGTMAGTGTCCGTAGACACCCTTGTAGAGACTCCTCTCAAACCACCTGTTTCCTGATGTGTAACACACACTATGAGGGCTGTGTTGGCAAGGTGAAGGTCGCCARAGTTGTACCACGAGGTAGAGTTACAGTCAAGCAACGGCATCTTCCCCTCGCTAAATGGCCAAAAAGCAGAGCGAAAGCACTGATGACTGCAAAATGAATGAATTTGGGATGTTAGTCATTTTTGCAGTACATTGATGAGGAGAGGAGCTGCACTCGCAGTGCACCTACTGATGTGCTAAGCTTGAGATCGTGTCTTTCATGTTACTGTTGATGACAGAAACTTGAGAGTCGAACACTTCTCTACTTGGATAGCTTTAGAGAAGGAAAAAAAGAAAAACCTTCCCGGACTTTGAAGTAATTTAGCCCTCAGAGCCATTGAAATTAGCCCGATCCTCGGGACTGGCAATAAAACCTTCGGTTTTTATGCGATTTCCGATCCGGATCTTGGGTCCAAGCAACCCTTTTGCCCCCTTCCCCGCTATTTTCACGTTTCTCTTGACCACTCCTATTTCCCCAATATTTCTCCCTCTTATCATCCCTTAATTAACTTTGCATGTTAAACCAACCCTGCTCAAATATCCCGTAATCAATTTGCTAATAGGAAAGCTATTAGACTGGTCTTGATAGCCCGCGAAAATCTCTTGACTCTCTCTGGAAGCGATAAAATTTCCAGATTAATCTCTTTGAGGTGAAACTTGAGTGGTTCTTTTAATGGCCCATCGATCACTATCTTAAGAGCTCTGGTCTTTGCCATTATCTCCATTAGCGCCTCCTTTTTAAGGTTTGTGTATTTGAGTGTTGTAACTTGTAACGTCTCTTATTTATTGCCTTGTAAATGTAGCTTTACAAAGAAAGCTTTACAAAAGAAAGCTTAACAAGTTTACAAGTTGTAGCTTTACAAAGAAACCTGAATGTGAGGTTATTTCTGACTACATAGTCCTTCAAGGTGTTTCTAAGCCCATGTCGTGAGTATCAGAGTAGAGAGGACTGCATCTCTCCAAATTATGAAAGTAGTTTGCAATATTTCGATTTTTGACTAGGAATGGGGACATTTTGGTAACATATAATGTCTTACCTCAGAATAGGTGGAAGAAGCGGACAGCATGCAGCAGGAGGGAAGAAGAGAACAGTGTTTTATGTTTATTGTTGTTGTTACCGGTTTTGTCAGCGCACAGAGATATTTACTCCAGTTTTAATGCTTGGGAGACATTAGACAGAAAAGTGTAAGAGTCGTATATGCTTTGAGGAAGGTGATATACAAAATGTGGAAGACTGCGTAAGGATTATGTGTATTGGATCAGTATTATTATTGTAGTGTGATGGTGAGTTCTTGTCATAAGGTCCTTGCTTTCCAGGACTTTTTTTCCTATAGATTTCCAGTCACCATCTCAGAAGAGYGCCTCTAAATTAAAATAAATAAATAAATAAGCAGAGCTCCTCAGATTTGCTCCACTTGCTAAGTGGTCAGTGGTGATTCAGTAGAGGAGTAGAAAGGTAAAACACAGTAATATGGACTGTTGAAGTGATAGAACTTGCAATTCGTACACAACATAAAGGGAAAACAGAAACTATTTATGAAGAGCTCCCCCGTCTGAAATAGGATGATACTCAGAGCAAATGCAAGGCGTATGCAAGGAGTAATCTTTGCATACAAATACGAGAAATTACATTGCACTGATTCCTTTTGGGAAGAAGTGTACAGATTTAAGTAACAAACTCGAAATACCAGGGCTTCACCTCTCCCGAATGCGAAAGGCAGATGAAATATTCCCCCTTACGACGCTGGGTGGGGATGTTGGCCACGGACCGGGAAGTTTCTCTGCCTACATCATCTTTTCCAGGCAGTGGCAAGCAGACACAATGAGACAAAAACATCTAGCCACTGGATTCCCGAAAACATTCCTCTACCTTGGGTGCCACGTTAAAATGCCAGGAACCAGAGAGGATACACCGAAAGGATGGTTTTCCTGGAAAGCGGTGGCGAGCAGAGACATCAAAAGGCAAGTGATCTTCTTTATTCTCTGTGTATGCGTGTGTCAGACTGGCTCTGAAACCCTCCGCTATTCTCTGGCAGAGGAAATGGAGAGGGACGCCTTTGTTGCCGATGTCGCAAAGGATCTGGGGGTTTCTCTCAGCCAGCTCGCTGCTCGCAAGGCCCGAGTGGTCTCCGAGGGGAACGAGCAGTATTTCCGACTGAATCAGAACACGGGAGTCCTGACAGTAAAGGAAACCCTAGACAGAGAGGAGATCTGTCCGCAGAGTGATGTCTGTACACTCTTCTTTAAGGTATTCTTTGAAAATCCTTTGCAATTGATCCGAGGGGAGGTGGAGGTTCTTGATGTGAACGACAATTCTCCCATATTCCCGGAAAAGGAGATGGTTTTAGAGATTTCCGAAACGTTATCTTCTGGGTCGCGTTTGCCTCTGGAGAGTGCTCTGGACAAGGACGTGGGGAGTAACAGCCTGCAGAATTACAGCCTCGAGACCAATTCGTATTTCTCCCTGAATCTCGGGACCGGGAAGGATGGGGGGAAATACCCAGAACTGATATTACAGCGGCAACTGGACCGTGAAGACCAACCGGAGATTAATTTGCTTCTCATCGCCACCGACGGGGGCTCGCCGCCCAGGACAGGAACGGCTCAGGTCCGGATCGTGGTGGTGGATGCCAATGATAACATCCCTGTCTTCGGTAGGGAGATCTATGAGGTACGCCTGGCCGAGAACAGCCCGCCGGAGCAGCTGGTGGTTAGAGTCGTGGCYGAGGATCCTGATGAAGGGGCGTATGGCAAAGTGAGATATGCCTTCACCCAGACTTCAGAGCGATCTCGACAGCTCTTTCAGATGAACACTGACACCGGTGAAATACGGCTATCGGGCAGTCTGGACTTCGAGGAAGCAAAAAAACATGAGATGGTGGTGAGAGGCATGGATGGCGGGGGTCTGTATGCACACTGCAAAGTGCRCGTGGAGGTCCTGGACGTGAATGACAACGTTCCGGAGATAGCGCTAACCTCCATCTCCGCGTCCATTTCCGAGGATGCCCCTCCCCGGACTGTGGTGGCCCTGTTCAGAGTGCGGGACCGAGACTCCGGRGACAACGGGAGGACGGAGTGTGCGATCGACGGGGCGTTGCCCTTCAGTCTCACACCCACTTTCGATAACTACTATGAGCTACGGACAGAAGCGGCCCTGGACAGGGAGAGGACACCGGAGTACAATRTCACTATCACAGCCATGGACTGGGGCACACCGCGGCTTACTTCTCAGGAAAGAATTTCCGTGCAGATATCCGATGTGAACGACAATCCCCCGGAGTTCACGAAGACCATTTATACGATGTCAGTGAAAGAGAACAACAACCACATGCTCCGTATTGGCAGTGTGAACGCGACGGACGCCGACGAGGGGGAAAACGCCCGCGTGAGCTACGCGCTGGTGCCGGAGCAGGGGAAGAAGCCCAACGTGTCACTCAACTCTGAGAACGGGGAAATTTATATCCTTCGCCCACTGGACTACGAGGAGGTGCGCGCCTTCCAGGTGGCCGTGAGCGCCACCGACGGCGGCTCGCCGCCGTTGAGCGCCCAGGCTGTGGTGCGCGTGGAAGTTCGCGACGAGAACGACAATGCGCCCGTGGTGCTGCACCCGCTGCCCAACAGCAACGCGAAGGCGGGAGAGCTGGTGCCGAGACATGCGCCGGCCGGCTATCTGGTGACCAAGGTGGTGGCGGTGGACGCGGACTCGGGGCAGAACGCGTGGCTGTTCTACGAACTGGCCAAGGCCACGGAGCCGGGGCTGTTCCGCGTGGGGCTGCACAGCGGCGAGGTGCGCACGGCGAGGGCCGTGTCGGAGCGGGACGCGGCGAAGCAGAGACTCGTGGTGCTTGTGCGGGACAGTGGGCAGCCGCCGCGCTCTTCCAGTGTCACCCTCAGCCTCACTCTGGTCGAGGGCTTTTCCGARGCCCACCTGCGGGTCAGTGAGGAGGCGCCCACCGCCGATGTTGAGACATCGCTGACGTTCTACCTCATCGTCTGCTTATCCTCCGTGTCAGCACTGTTCCTGATCACCTTGATAGCCATCGTGGTTGTGAAGGTGCGGCGGGTCAGGAGGATGGAGGTGGAGACCGGACTCGCTTTCCCGAAGATTACTGAGGAAAGCAACTCCAACTCCGTACCCCACAGCTACTTGTATGACGTCTGCTTCGCTGCCGGGACTGTCAACAGCGAGTTCCGATTCCTCAGGCCCCTCTTTCCCTGTTTCCCCTCCGGACTTCCCGCCGGCCCGGGAGACCAGCGGAGCTCGGTGTGTTCGCAAGACGTGACCAACCTCGGGGAACCAGGCGATTGGGCAGCACAGGTGAGGGASCTACGCGGCCAGGGTGGGCAGGAAGGAGAGAAGACGGAGCAACGTGAAGGGGTGGGGTGAAGAGTGGGCGGCTGGGGATGGTCACCCTTGGGAGCAGATACGCAACTTAATCCGGGTATAAAGCGGGATGTAAATGGATAATAGCTTGCTCAGGACCTTTTTCCTGAGGTAGACACTGAAGTAGAATCAAGTGACTCGGAGCACAGCTCCACTGTAGGTGCCCAGTAGATCCTGTGATTATTCACACTAGACGTAGTCTCAAGTTCATCCAAAGGAGGACAGCTAAGAAGACAGAGGAGACCGGGACCGCAGGGTGGTGAACCACAGATGGATGAAGCAAGGGATGGGGGGGGAGGCAGGGGGGAGTGCAGGAGGTGCTGTGAAACGCCCGTAGTGATCGAGTACAGAAATGACACTACTTTCGAGACGGCCACCCTGGGACAGTGTTCAGARTGAACAAGCAGCACTCCAGGTACAAGGATACAACAGGCTGGAAAGATGCTGAGAGAAGTCGAGGAATAACACGGCCTAGCTCAATTCTGTGGCATCTGCCGTGAAGATGAGAACTTAGATGAGGGAGGTTCTGGTGTTGTGGAGAAGAGTTTTAAAATAATAAAGGAAATTGTAGTGTCCAATGCAGGGAGCCCAAACCTTTAAGAGTGATCAACACTTTTTTTTTTTTTAATCACCAAAAACTCCTTCTATCTTTGAGGAGAAGAAAATAGCTTGAAATATCCACCAACTGAAAGGAAAGGGGGAAAAAATCGTTTTAGTCCCAGCATCTACTTAAAAAAATCTCATTGTGGAATTTCCTGATRGTTCGTGGAACTGTAGACTTGCCCTTTGGAAGTGTATATAAACTATTTTACTAGCTGGCATCTGCTTACTCKCAGCCTTCAAATGACAGCCCTCTGCTCTGTTCTTTGCAGGACAGAGCTTCCCTCTCTGAAGACATGGGTCCCAGGCCCGTGGAAGCAGGTTGTGCTGCTAACAAGATGATAAGGGCGAATGACATTCCCGATCAAACCCCCTGGCTCGCCCACCAGTAGATGAGGACAAGGACAAGACCGTCTGTCCTCACCTGTTAATGTCCTCACAGAGAAATGAGAATGGAGAGGTAAATAAACAAATAAATAAATAGGCACAGGTATGCTCTGTGAGAGAGCAAGGACATTTTTCCTTTATGTAATGGTTGTTCACATAGGTATTTTGCAACCATGATGTGAATGGAGGACTGTAAAACTGTGCTGTGTGTTGATTACACCGAATCTTGATGGTTGATGGTGCTGTTGCTTCTGAATATTAAAAGAAATATGAAGARCAGAAGCAGATTTTCAGAAGCAATTTTCCCTTCATCGTATTTTCTGTATTTTTATTTCCTTTCGGAGAGTGTTCTGTGATAATATTTTAACTTTCAATAGCCTGCTCAATGCCGCTTATTGAAAACATGGTTTTGTCTGTGCAGAGAAGCTATTTAATAACAAAGAGAAATGGCTTACAATAGAAATGGGTGACTGTAACATACTTCGCTTATTAAGAACAAGAGTTTACAGATTCTTCATACTACTAAAAGTGAATGTTGAGGATGTTTTTTCACACTAGAAAACTGAACAGTTACAGGACAGTTCTGGACAACTAAGTGTGAGGCAGTAGAGAAATAAAGTAGTAGTAGTGATTTTGCGGTAAAATAGGTTTAAATTTCTATAATAAAGATAAGGCATTGTACCATCCAGTGAATCCAGTGAAAGTTTTTGTCTCTTTTTGCTTTCATTACTCGACACTGAAATAAAAAGTCACGTGATATTTTCTGTTGCTCCCACATTTTTAGGGATTCATAGGTTGAAAGGGCAGTGCAGTTCTCATGCTTTGTCGCAAGACTTTCGTTTCTTCCCTTTCTCCTTTCCTTTTCCCCTYTCCTTTCCTTTATCCTTTCCCATTCCATTTCTTTTTCCTGTTACCTTTCCATTCTCCCTTCCTCTTCCCTTCTCTATTTCGCGTTTTTCACTTCCTTTCTCCTTTCTCTTCTCTTCCTTTCTCCCTTTGTCTTCCTTATTTCCATTTTCCCTCTCCCTCTCCCTCTCCCTCTTTCTCTCCCTCTCCCTCTTTCTCTCCCTCTCCCTCTTTCTCTCCCTCTCCCTCTTTCTCTCCCTCTTCCATTTTTTTTTAACCTGGAAACATTAGAGCCTTGCTTACATGGACCGTGTATTACGAGCAGGACGCCTGGGATCGCAGCGGTGGCAGGACGGATAGGAGCGCTCGGGCGGGCTCTGGCGGGAGCGGTACCCGCTACGCGACGCAGGGTGGTGCTGTTGGCCAGGACGGCGCTGCAGCCGCGCGGCGAGCCGGGCGGCGAGCGGGGCGGCGAAGGGAACGGCGAGCGCTCGGTCCTCCGCGCCAGCCGCTGCCCGGCACCTTGGACGCCCTTCAGTGCAGCGACCTCGGCGAGAAGGAGAGCTCGGATGGAGGCACCTTTCATGGGCATCCGTTTCCCCGGAGCCGCGCGACCGCGATCGGCGAGACGCAGAGAGACCGCAATGAAGCCTGCAAGGCAAGTGCTTTGTCTKTGTGTCTTTCTCTCCGTGCCGCTTGCTCGCTCGCAACCCATCCGCTACTCCGTGGCCGAGGAGAGCGAGAGCGGCTCCCTGGTGGCGCATGTGGCGCAGGACGTGGGGCTGGAGCTGGCGCAGCTCGGSGCTCGCGACGCTCGGCTCGTGTCGGACGACAGCCGGCAGTACTTTCGCTTAGAGCGCACCACCGGCCGCCTCGCAGTTACGGACAGGATCGACCGGGAGCAGCTCTGCGG